CAACCTAATTCCTAATGCACCCCTCCCTATCCCTAGTTATTTTTTGCCTACATGAGGTGTTTTTTTTTAAATAAAACTATTATATTATATGAGACTTCAAATTTCTGTTTAGTGAATGAGCCAGTGCACTGGCTATTGTATGTTTTATATATGTGTGTCAGGGTGTACATGTATATATATATATATATATATATATATATATATATATATATATACAATGCTCAAAAAAATAAAGGGAACACTTAAACAACACAATGTAACTCCAAGTCAATTACACTTCTGTGAAATCAAACTGTCCACTTAGGAAGCAACACTGAGTGACAATCAATTTCACATGCTGTTGTGCAAATGGGATAGACAACAGGTGGAAATTATAGGCAATTAGCAAGACACCCCCAATTAAGGAGTGGTTCTGCAGGTGATGACCACAGACCACTTCTTAGTTCTTATGCTTCCTGGCTGATGTTTTGGTCACTTTTGAATGCTGGCGGTGCTTTCACTCTAGTGATAGCATGAGACGGAGTCTACAACCCACACAAGTGGCTCAGGTAGTGCAGCTCATCCAGGATGGCACATCAATGCGAGCTGTGGCAAGAAGGTTTGCTGTGTCTGTCAGCGTAGTGTCCAGAGCATGGAGGCACTACCAGGAGACAGGCCAGTACATCAGGAGACGTGGAGGAGGCCGTAGGAGGGCAACAATCCAGCAGCAGGACCGCTACCTCTGCCTTTGTGCAAGGAGCAACAGGAGGAGCACTGCCAGAGCCCTGCAAAATGACCTCCAGCAGGCCACTAATGTGCATGTGTCTGCTCAAACGGTCAGAAACAGACTCCATGAAGGTGGTATGAGGGCCCGACGTCCACAGGTGGGGGTTGTGCTTACAGCCCAACACCGTGCAGGACGTTTGGCATTTCCCAGAGAATACCAAGATTGTCAAATTCGCCACTGGCACCCTGTGCTCTTCACAGATGAAAGCAGGTTCACACTAAGTACATGTGACAGACGTGACCGAAATGAGATCCTCAGACCCCTTGTGAGACCATATGCTGGTGCGGTTGGCCCTGGGTTCCTCCTAATGCAAGACAATTCTAGACCTCATGTAGCTGGAGTGTGTCAGCAGTTCCTGCAAGACGAAGGCATTGATGCTATGGACTGGCCCGCCCGTTTCCCAGACCTGAATCCAATTGAGCACATCTGGGACATCATGTCTCGCTCCATCCACCAACGTCACGTTGCACCACAGACTGTCCAGGAGTTGGCAGATGCTTTAGTCCAGGTCTGCGAGGAGATCCCTCAGGAGACCATCCGCCACCTCATCAGGAGCATGCACAGGCATTGTAGGGAGGTCATACAGGCACGTGGAGGCCACACTCACTACTGAGCCTCATTTTGACTTGTTTTAAGGACATTACATCAAAGTTGGATCAGCCTGTAGTGTGTTTTTCCACTTTAATTTTGAGTGTGACTCCAAATCCAGACCTCCATGGGTTGAAAAAAAATTTGATTTCCATTTTTTTATTTTTGTGTGATTTTGTTGTCAGCACATTCTACTATGTAAAGAACAAAGTATTTCAGAAGAATTTTTAATTCATTGAGATCTAGGATGTGTTATTTTTGTGTTCCCCTTATTTTTTTTGAGCAGTGTATATAGATATGATCTAAGTATTATTTTAGTAATACAATGCTTTAATTTTTTTTTTGTGCTTTTACAGTGCTGCAACCTGCTATTCCGGCCATGTGATCTCAGCTTCATTGCGATCACATGGCCTGGACTTGCAGGAGGGGGTCTGGGATATCAGGCAAGTCCTCCAGCGCGATCACCAATGTGGGAATGGCGAGGACATGCTGTGCTGCCGCCGGCATTTAGAATCGCCTCCTTAAGGACAGCAAAGAATGTGCGCTGTCCTTAAAGGGTTAAGTACGGCTGCAGCTGTTGATTGGACAGGTCAAGTCCCTCCAGGTTCATTTTCCAATTGCCATGGACTGAGACCGTGCAAATGTGTTCACTGTGGATGTTTGTTCGGTTGAACACCGCCTTATTATCTTTGTACTTTAGAGCCAGCAGTTAGTCCTGGCAGAGAGCAGCTGTTTCTCCCCTTTCTGCTAAAGCTTTTGTTAAACCTGTATGACTTTTTTGGATAGTGCCACAGGCCAAAGTCTCAAAGCAGTGAAGCATTTTAAAGAGACCCTATAGGCACCAAAACAACTTTAACTAAATGATGCAGTTTTTGTAAATAGATCATATCCCTGCAGTCTTACTGCTCAATTCTCTATTCTTCTCAATTTAGTAGTTAAATTACTTTGTTTATGCAGCCCTAGTCACACCTCTCCTGCATGTAACTTGCACAGCCTTCCTAAACACTTCCTGTAAAGAGAGATCTAATGTTTAAACTTCCTTTGTTGCACAGTCTGTTTAATTTAGAATGTATTGCATCTTGCTCTGTTAATACCTTGTTAGAGCCTGCAGGAGCCTCCTATGTGTGATTAAAGTTCAATTTACAGAGCAGGGGACAGAAACTTCTAAAGCAAGTTAACATCTGATAAAAAATTAAACCATTTTTATGCACCTAAACTGAGGAGTTGTGGCTAGAGCTGTATAAACAGAAACAAAATGATTTAACTACTAAATGGCAGATAATTGAATAATAATGTACTCATTGTCCTTCATTTTCTCCAATTTGTAGGCACCTGTGAGATAACGTTTGTGAAAACTCTAAATCCTTTTACTCTATCAAAGAGTACACTGATGGCGTGTTTAAGGTAAATACTTTAATGGTGATTTTGTTTATCCCCCTGTAATCAATACAGGGACGTAATCCCCACCTTCCTTTTCAGAAGAACCTCGTCTGGAGAAAACGCTTAGTAATAAAATTTCATGTTCAAGGTTTCAGCAACATAAACCTCCTTAGCTTTGTTTTCAGTAGGAGACAAAAGGTAGGTATGGCCTCTAGCAGGATGAGTTCTTGGCAAGAGATCTATAGCGCAATGATAAGGATGATGAGATGGTAATTTACCTGCTCTTATTGTATTTTATTTTATTCTACATATTCTGTAGTATCTACTTTTTGTTGCCTTTTTTCCCAGTAAATTGTTTCATTAATCTTTTTTTATATTGGCACAACTTGTTGTTTGTAGTATCTATTCGAAATATAACTAATTTGGAGAAAATAAAGTTTTCCTCATGATTTAATTAGCTTCATGGAAGCGGCAGGCGTGCTCTGTAAGAGCATGTCTGCCATGTCCTCCAAGAACAAGTGTGTCTGTCGGCACATGCTTACGTTGTCCACAGAGTCCCCTTTAGACCCACGTGGACTCCCTTTTTGGCAGTCTGGAGAACTTGCTGATAGCCATGCACAAGCTTACGGCTCAAAGAGAATCTTCCTGTTGATCATTTCACAGGCAAAAATGGAAAGGCAAAGGTGGTAGACAGCAGATCTCCAGTTTGATAAGCTGGTAATATCCAAATGAAAAAATCAATATCCAAATGAAAAAATCCAGCAATAAATTCATGCATGTTTTCACATGGGGTATCTCTACTACATTGTTTAAAAAAAAAAAAAACTTTTTTCATTTGAGTGTTCATTTAAACATGCAAAATAAACTCTCGTTAGCCCTTTAATACTCCATCATGCATCAAAATTAATGAACAAAGGTATTCGTAGCTGCTTAACTGCCAATAAATGATAAGCAGCATCTTTGTTTTGTTAAGTTATGTAAGGCAGTACCCCATGAAATAATAACAGACTGAATATTTCTTACATATATTGTTTGTATTGTTTTTGTTGATTATGAGTTGCAGAAATAGTGTAGATGAATATATGCTCGTCGTGTTTTGCTCTCTAACAACAGCTACATTAAAATTATTGCAAGTTTCTTGAGCTGATGTCTGTTATCGTACTTAATTCACTTTGGTCAATACTCACTTTATCCAGAATGGAGACTCCTTTGCTCTTCCGATCAAATATTTAACTTTCTTTATAGCATGTTTGCATTTAATAACAGTTGAGGATTAGCTTCTGGTATTTTAGTAGCTGACCAAGAATCTTTTATCCAAGTTTCTTTACAAAACTAATGCAGGAAGAAAATGTCAAATAAAACAAACTTAAAAGAACACTTCAATCACCATAGCCAGTAAATCACTTTGGAGTTATTATTATTATTATTATTTTATTATTTATATAGCGCCAACAAATTCTGTAGCGCTGTTATGGTTACAAGAATGCCCTGGTGCCCCCTGTTTCAAACAATAAAGTATTTTTAAAGGATCTGACTTCTTATCTGTGGTCACCTGGGGGCCACTCCCTGACTGTACTCTCCCAGAAGTTCTGGCAATATTTATCTCCTGGGCGCCCGCTTGGAGAACTACCAGCAGAGAGGACGTCAGCTCATTCTTTAGTGTTCTCCTTCAGAAGTATTGGAGGCGGCGAGTGGTGCCCAGCAGATGGCAAACCAGTTAAGAAGTCAAATTGATTTAAGATGATTTTACTGTTTATAAGACGGAGCAAAAGAGCACTCTTGCACCAGTGGGTTTGGTGCTTGCACTGTTCAGACATATATTTTGTATCTTTTTTTAAGCCTTGTTTATTACAGCCTTATGATACAACAGTTTTCTGAGCCCTCCTTTTACCTCCTGGTTTCTTAAGCTGTATATAATGGGATTTAGAAGTGGCGTTACCACACTGTAGAGAAGAGAGAGCAATTTGTCATTATCAGGCTTATCGCTGGCCTTCACACGAACATAAGTGAATGCTCCCGTCCCAAAGAACAAGGTGACAGAGACAAAGTGTGAGGCACAAGTGGAGAAAACTTTCTTGCGACCTGTGTTGGTGCTTATGCGAAGGATTGCAGCAATAATGCGCCCATAGGAATAAAGCACAAGGGAAAATGGCAAAGGAAGTACCAGAAAGCCGGTAACTGAAACAGAAATCTCGTTAGCAGAAATATCAGTGCAGGCCAGCTTGAGCACCGGAGGGATGTCACAGAAAAAGTGATTAATTACATTGGGACCACAATATGGAAGGCTAAAAATGGAGGCAGTCTGTCCAAGGGAGATGAGATTACCAGCGATCCATGAGACAGCAGCTAACCTTAGGCAAGTAGGTTTACTCATAACAGAAAAATACTTTAAGGGGTCGCAGATGGCTACATAGCGGTCATAAGCCATAACAGAGAGAAGAAAGCATTCTGTGACACCAAGAGTGAAGAAGCAATACATCTGCATACAGCATCCGTAGAAGGAGATGGTTTTCCTCTTGGCAACAAAGGTGTTGAGCAGCTTTGGTAAGGTTACTGTAATGTAACAGATTTCAAGGAAAGAAAGGTTGCGGAGAAAGTAATACATAGGGGTGTGGAGTAGGGAGTCCAGAGTAGCAACAGAGATGATTGTAAAATTGCCCAATAAAGTGAAGATGTAGATGAGGATAAAAAGAATGAACAGAAATAGCTGGAGCTTTATGGAGAAGTTTGTGAAGCCCAAGAGAATGAACTCATCGATATGAGACTGGTTTCCTAAGTTCTTGCTAGTGACGTAGGTCATCTAGATAGACAATAAATATATACAGAGCTGTATGTTTAACCAGCTGTCATTATCAGTATGTATAAATTACATATAACAAAATATTTGTTGTATATAGTATATTAAAATGTCTATTTTTTTTTAATGTTGACAAGTAACTTTCTCTGCATCATCAAAACATTTTTTTCATCCAGCATCCAGGAAGGCATCACACATTATATTCCATACAATAACCAAGCAAGTTATTAAAAATGTGTTATCGCACCGGTTAATTGGTTAATTTGTGATGCACACATTGGAAATCCTACCATAGTTTTGATTTTAAAATTATAAAACAGCACCTGCTAATGTTTTTTGATGAAATATATTTAATAAAGGAAGCACATGAACCAGTATTTTCTTTGAGAGCTCTACAATTGTAAAAACACACATCTTTTAAGATTTTAAATGACCAAAACAGGACACCTTTACTTTAGAGATTGTGACTGAAGACGCTGAAAGGTTTGACCAGGGATCGAGCAGTGGAGGCTTGTATATAGTGAGAGGTGGGGCTGTGTCCCCCAGGTTTTAAAAAAAATAAATAAAACCAACCTACTAGCACATTAAGGACTAATGATAAGTGTGTGTATTTGAAAAAAAATATTATTAAGGTATTTATCAGAGTGTTCTGAAAAGTGGTGGTTAACTTCCATCATTATATTAAATCGTATTTATTAAAGTGATCTAAAGAGTTATGTTTTTCTTAGTAAAATCTATAAGTTATCTCAGAACTTTTTAACCAAATTTAAAGTGGAGTTAAAAATTATGAAAATATTAATAAATCTGTTGCGTCAGCAAACAATTGGTGCATATTATTATTTTACTATTTATATAGCGCCAGCAAATTCTGTAGTGCTGTACAATGGGTGGAGTAACAGACGCATTTTAAAAAATGGTTTAGGTGCAAAAAAAGAAACGCTAGAATTTTTTTTTAAAAATGTGACAGATTCAAAATTGTTGGTGTTCCTTTGATAAACCTTCCCATTGACTATAACTCTACACACTTAATATTGGTAAGTCAAGAGTCAGAAACCACACAATGAGCGAAAAACAGAAGTATAGGTTCTAACATTTAGATTTACACCAGCATTTGGTGGTTCCAGATTTTGACTCACTTTTACTTTAAGGATACGTTACACTATGGAAACCAACAAAATGCCTCTAATCAGCATTTTATACCCAGACTAGCACCTGTTCCTGCTATAAAAACTTCCCAAAAATACTTCCTCTAGCATGTAAGCTCATTGAACAGGGCCCTCAACCCCTCTGTTCCTGTGCGTCCATTTGTCTGGTTACAATTACGTGTCTGTTTGTCCACCCATTGTACATTGACGTGGGAATTGTGAAAAAAAAAAAGACAGCGAGATTTGGTTCGCAGTGAATGACATTTAGGTGGCATGGAATATTTTTCCACAGATGTATGTAGTTGTTGAGTGTGATTGTGATGATTGGTTAAGTATGATATGTATGTGTGGTGATGACTAATTGTGACTGTGGGTGTCGGGCTGGCTGAATGTGCTTGTGTGTGAGGGTTATCATTTTACTGTTAGAAGAAAGCACACCTAGCAATTTTAGAAGCTTTCAAAAATTAGAATGATGATAAACTACTATAATAATACATGAGAAAATATTAACAGTTAAATCACAAGGGTTTAAACTGATTGAATATAGTAACCTAATTGTTATATTAATTTGTATTTCTTGTAAAGAACACACCATTAAAACACTGAAAATATGGTTTCTTAAAGAATAGCTGTCACCTCAACACTATTCTTAAAGGGACACCGTAGGCACTGTATCTGCTTCATCTCATTAAACTGGTTATAGTGTCTGGAGTCCCCTGGTACCATAATTTCTTTCAGCATTAAACAGTTTTTAATGTTTTTATGTTTTAATGCTAAACAAGAGTCCCAGGCAATCCATCCCCTCTGTGCAGCTTTGGATAATAAGGAAGTATTAGCCTGAGCAGCAATGGACAGCTGTGATTGGCTGAGAGTGTCAGGTGACTGCTTTCAGCCTGTCAGAGCTCCAACTGACGGTATGAATGGGTATGACAACAAGGAAGTGTGTAATCTCTGCCTTAGCTACACATACAGAAGGAGCTGGACTGTAGGTGGCCAGGGACTCTTATGTTGTGGCATACTGCACGAATATGGTGCAACACTGAGTGGAGGGACAGTGCCAGGGCACTCCAGGCACTATAACCAATTCAAAGAGATGAAATGGTTATAGTGACTACAGTGTCCCTTTAATATAATAATTATTTCATCAAGTTTTGATACTTAGTATAAAGACAAGATGCTTCAGCCATATACGTACACCGTGTCTCAGGCAGTGTTTGAAAACCAACAGTCAGCCTCTATGTCTTCCCTGCTTTTGTGCAGGGAGTGAAGCAGGTAAGAATATAGAGACTGACTGACAATTTTCAAACACTGTCCACCCCAAAGGTGTGCCAGGATATGTGCTGAAGGATATGTCACATACTAAAAGGTATAAAAGGTGATTTCATTATTGTTTTACAATAACTTAATTTAAAAAAAAAAAATCAATTTCCTTTCAAAACTTAATGAAAGGATCATTATATTAAAAATAGTTTTGAGGTGACGTTGTCTTTTAAAGACCGTGGAGCCATGGGATCCAAAAACTAAGGCCCAAAAAGGCCCAAAAACTAGAATATATGCTTTAAGGGACCGTTTTGGGCACCCTAACAACTTAATTTGGTGCTAGGAGGTCCCCCTGGTACTGGTTCACCTTAAGAAGTTAAACTGCTGTTCATAATTGAAGGTGTCATTTAATACAAAACAACTTTTTTATTATTTCACAATTGTGAGTAGTGCTATGTACTATAATGTACTTTTTATTGTTTACTAATTATTTGAATTTATTTGGAGTGTGTTTCCATAAGAGTAGGAGGTGGAGAACAAAACTGGCATAGTTATTACTACCTACAGAGGATATCATTTATTTCCATTATCTGCACTGACTTTGAACAATTACTCTTACATGAACTATATCTTCTAATAAATGCATTGCAATTATGTACATACAGTAGTATTTATCATTACAGCATGCAAATGCAAAATATACCAGTGTTTAAAAAAATTACCTAAGTCCTGTAATGATTGCCTAGGGCCGTGATGGCACACCTTTTTGAGCCAACGTGCCCAAACTGAAACACAAAACAAATTTCTTTATCTCAAAGTACCAAAACTGCAATTAAACCTGATAACTACATTTTTGATATTTAGACACTCAACATTTGGAACGAATACATTTTTTTTTCTTAGAATGAAAACACATTAAAGAGGTTTTAATTATAAACAGTTTTATTAAAAAAAAAACCTTGACATCAACTCTAATTATAAAACAAAAAACATAGTGAAAAATAAATAATGGGTCTATTAAATGAAAAGTTAATTGTAGTAAATTAGTAAGGGAATTGTAAAATCTACTCTAAAATAACTGAGGTGAAAAACATCCCAAATTTTACTTTTACCAAAACAGCTGCCTTAGACTTTTACAGTTTTTGGTTAATTCATTACAATTTACATTTGAGTGAATCAACCTGTAAATCTGCTACCTAGAACAGTCAGTGTGCTCAGCAGATGACATAAGCCAAATATATGAAACTCTGTATTTAACAGATGATGAAGCAGGGCTAATGAGATTCTTTTCTCGCTTGATCAAATTATGTGAAAGATTCCCACCCTTGCACGAGCAGTCACGTCCATCGGAAGCTATCCGGCTTGTATCAATCGCACACTGTTGCAGACTTTTTAATTTTTGCAAGCAGATACCCAGCTGTACCTGTGATGTGTCAAAGTTATTACTTGTGTGCCAGCAGACAGGCCTCTGCCTGCCTCAGTTTGCCATCACTGGCCTAGGGAGATATGTATTGCTACGGTTTATGACAATAAACAAGAAACAGCTAAAAGAAAAGCAGAGCAAATCTCTCTTTCCAAGTATTTCTTGGAAGTGCTCCTCTCTGTCCCATCACCTTGCAATCGCTCACACTTACCTCTGTCGTGGTGCCAGGGGGGATAAGAATTCAATCACAGTGTGTGGATGTTTTAAAAGATGTTCAGGCCTCCGATTCAACAGGTTTACCACCCACTGGGATGGTTGTTTCCCCTTGACACCTCATTAAACTTTTTGCAATTACCATCTTCTTCTGTAAACTTACTGTTCAGATGTGGATCACTTAAACTAAATTTTCAATGTTTTTCTTTCTTTACGATTTTGTCAGGCCTGCTCTACCAGAATCCTTCACTGGATACTTGTCATGATAATGAATAACTTTTTTTTATGAAGTTTGTGCGTTATTAAAAATTGTGTAATAATGCAAGTCAAGTTTAAAATCAGGGTAGATGTAACATTTTTTATTTTTTGTAGAAAACAGTCCTTAGCATTTAAATCAATCTAAATTTTAAAAAAATGCTACCTACTAGTGTTGATTTTATTATTCCTTTGACTTACCCATAAGCAACTTTACTTTACTTAATTGAGTGCTTAGTCCCTATTGTAAAATTAAAATATTAAAACATTTTAATAATAATAGCTTATTTTACAAGTGTATCCAAACATGTTAAATAATTGGGAAAATTTATAAAAAAATATTAAGTTGAGGCCATAGTGTCTGAAATGGAGCCCTTTAAATCTTGTGACAAAATGGGTATTCAGTAACAACTGAGGTAAA